TGCTGATGATCATGTAATGTTTTGTTTATGTTTTCATAATATTATTTGACTGATATTAAAATATAAACCATCTTGAATTTTTAGAATAAATCCCATTGGGTCATTATCCTTTTTATATATTACTGGATTGATTAAAATTTAAAGATTTTTTGTGTCTATGTTCATGAGGATATTGGTTTGCAGTTTTCTTATAATGTTTTTGATTTTGGTGTCAGGGTAATGCTGGCTTGAAGATATGTTAAGACTGGTGCAGTGGTACATGACCGCAGTTCTAGCTACTCTGGAGGATCACAAGTTTGAGGCCAGCCTGGGCAACTTAGTGAAACCAATTCTCAAAAGAAAAAATAAAAAGGGCTGGAGTGGTGTAGTGTCCCTGAGTTCCAACCTACCCACCACACATTCTCATGAGTCAGAAGTGTTATTTTCTGGGAGTGTTTGTTTATAATTTGTTTATTTTTTTCCTTAAGTACTTTGTAGAATTCACTAGTAGAGCTATTTGGATCTGGAATATCTTTTGGGGGAGGAAGAATTAAATTACAAATTCAATTTATTCATTGATATAGGGCAAGTAGATTTATATAAGTTAACTCCTTTCAAATAAGTTTTGGTATGTTGGTATGTTTTGACTATCAAAGAATTTGTGTTTCATTAAGCTATCTTTTGCTTTTTAGTATCTCTAATTATAGTGATAACCTTCTTTCATCTGATATTGGTAGTGTTTTTTTTTTTTTTCCTATTTCCTGGCCAGCCTTATTAGAGGCTTTTCATTTTACTGATCTTTCTGAAAAACTTACTTTTAATCACATTAGTGTTTTCTATTGTTTTTCTGTTTTTATCTCATTGACTTCTTCTCTTAGGTTTAATTTCCTTCCCACATGAGATTATAAATATAGAAACTATAGATAATAATTAGCAAACTGAGTCCATGGGCCAAACCCAGCATGCTGTTTGAATGGCCCATGAACTAGGAATGATTTTTGCATTTTTAAAAATGGTTTAAAAAATCAAAAAGGATATTTTGTGATGTAGAAATTAAATGAATTCAGAGTTCAATGTCTATTAAGTAAAGTTTTATTGCAATGCAGCCATATTGAGTTACTTATGTATTGTCTGTGGCTGCTTCTGTACTGGAGTGGTAGAGTTGAGTAATTGTGTCAGAGATGTGACATTCTCAGTGCTTTCACTACTTTTTGGTGCACTGTAATCAGTGTTTCAAGTGCCATACTGTACGCACTTTATGCTCTTATGTTTTATCAGTGTGTACATCTATAATGTCAAAACAAGAAATGATGAAAAAATAAACTTGGAATGTTATGCTTTTAAGACACAGTGGAGTGTGGATTATTGAATTAGATGACAAAGCATTATGTTATTACGCAGCGACGCTGTAGCTATGCTAAAGAAATACAGCATAGACTGACACTACTAGATGAAGCACTCGTCATAGAAATCTCAGCTCACGAGAAAAAGTATTGGTTAGGAAATGTAGAAACTTAAAAAGGAATATCTTATTCCAATAGAATTTCATCACAAATTTTAAAAATGAAAATGAGGTGGCAGCACCCAGAGTGAATTTCCAAGTGGCTCATTTGTTAAATCAAGTAAGGAAGTTGTTTACCAATGATGGATTAACTAGATTATGTTGGATTGCAGCAGGCACAGAATTGTGTCTGGAGAAAATAAACTTGTTTAAAACTATTAGCCTTTTGGCATGAACAGTTGCTCGAAGAGTTGGGGACATCATTAATCAATTAAAAAACAAGGCAAATGATTTTGAGTGGTTTTCCTTGGCTCTTGATGAGTTGGTAGATGTTACCAGTACTGCTCAGTTGTTGTTTATTTAAGAAGTCAATGCTGAGTTTGAAGTTATTGAAGAATTAATCTTAATGGATGTGTGTGTGGAAAAATGTCTTACAGACAAGAATATTTTCAAAAGGTTAAAACACTAATTCCATTTTACCTCAAGTGGAATCTGCTAAGATATGTTAGAACTGATGGTGGTAAAGATTTGGGTAGAACAGAAATAAGCTCAGGTGGAAAATTTTATAAACTGCCGAAATGTAAGCTATTTAAAGTTTATGGTTATTTTTTGTGTATTTCTTAGGTATTTTGTAGAGAATATTTGAGTCTGTTGTGTGATAAACGACCAGTTTTAGCATTTACTCTTGTGGTCTGTCTTAATTGTCAGTTCCATGAATTTTTGTTAGAAACGGAGTATTCTCACTTACCTCCAGCATTTTGGTGGCTTAACAATAAGGTTTATTGTGAACTTTTAAGCTTAGGGCTGAGATTAAATTTTTTTCTGAATGAGAGGAACTGCTGTCAATTACTATTATGGAACACCGAATGTGTTAGAAATCAGTGTTTGCTGTGGACTTGATAATGTTTCTTAATGAATTCAACCTAAAATTACAAGACAGAACAGTGCTTATTGAAGTTAATACCATGGTAAAGTTATTTCAGTGCTAACTAATGTTTGAATTACAAGTAATATCAAGCTGTTTTGTGTATCTTTCCATGCTGTCAAAATTTAAAACTAAGAAGCGAGGTCTCCATTCCCACCCAGCATTATTGTAGATATGTTTACCAGAGCTCAAGCTAGTTTTAGCTGAATTTTTCAGTCTCTGATGGAATTGCAAGGAAATTTCCTTATTACAAAATCTATTTGGGTGTGTAGTAGAGGTACTTTTCTGCTTAACCTTTATTGGAAGTGCTTAATTTGCAGTGTACTGATATGCTAAAAGGTAAATACCAAGAGAAGAATAAATTCTTTAAATGCCTTCCAAACAGTGAACATGCTGAATGGAAATCATATGCTTGTGATTTGATATCAATATGTGGCAGTGCATAAGTGGTACTTTTTGAAAAAAGATATTTTCCAAGATGAAATATGTAAAATCTTATTAAAGATCAGCACTAATAACACAGGAGCATTTGTGAGTGATTTTAATGCTAGGAAACACTAACTTTGAATTCTAAGTGAATTATTAACCCTAGAAAGAGTTCTATGCTTCTTATTAGGAGACCTGTCCTACATAAAGTTGTGCTCTGTTATTAGTATTATAATATTTCAAATTTCATCCTTGAAAATATGGCAATTTTTTTCGCCTTATTTAAGTACTTACATAATGTCTTCTGTTTTGCTTGTGAGTCCTCAAAACCTTGAATATTTACAGTCTAGACCTTTATAGAAAATGTTTGCTGTCCCTTTCTTTACATCAAGATTTTTTAAAAATCCTATATGGTTGTATACTTGCACTTATTAGCAGAAATAATGCTAATTAATTTTGTCTCCCAGTGACTTTAGAAGAAAATAATATATGGTGCTGCTTTGTTTCCACTGAACTGATTAATTGCAGCTTAGTCACTATAATGAAACCTTAGTGTTTTTTTTTTTTTTTTTTAAAAAGAGAGAGAGAGAGGTAGAGAGAGAATTTTAACATTAATTTATTTTTTTTAGTTATCGGCGGGCACAACATCTTTGTTTGTATGTGGTGCTGAGGATCGAACCCGGGCCGCACGCAAACCAGGAGAGCGCGCTACTGCTTGAGCCACATCCCCAGCCCGAAACCTTAGTGTTTTGTGTTAACGTTCTAAAGTTGGACAAGAGGTTTTCCATGATTGTCTTGTGTTCTGTGGCTAAATCCACTGGAACATTGAAATTTCTTACTGCATAAAAGTAGTGTGTTGTTTACTCAAGTATAATTCCCAAGTAAAATAATGCTGCCTTCAAGGAACTTATACTTGAATAAGGGGCAAATAGTATTTTAAAATACAGAAAGCAAGTAACTGCTTTTAAGAATGTACTGGCCAGTTGATACACTTAGAACTTGTTATGGTTAATTTTGCAGAAGAATTTTTTGAGCCCCTTAAGAATACATAAAATATTCAGAGTCAGGAGAAGTCAAGTTACCCAAACCAAAGTCAGCCATAGAGAAATATTTTGATGTTCTCTCCTGGGTAGACTCATTGGTTTACTGTTCCAGGAAATAAGAGAAGTGCAATTTGGATTCTTGCCCAGGATATCATCTTCTGTGTCTTTGGACTTCTATTCTTGTGGTATTGGGGAAGAAAGTATTTTTTCATAGAAGCCATAGATGATTCTAGGAGTCTTTTGGGAAGCCTGGAGAAAAGCCAGAATTACTGGGCTCAAGGGCTTTGGTGGAAACCAGAGGTTTAGAAGGTATTCTTCCTACCATCTTATAGAAAAGAAAGATTAATGATGGTCATTTGGACCGCCAAAAGCTATAGAGAAATACAAGATTGTAAGAGATTACAAGTTGAGATGCAGGAAAAGGTTCACAGTTTAATTCATTGTTTTTTGTTTAGATTTAAGTTGTATGGGCTAATTAAATGCATGATAGCATAGACTGTTTTTCAGATGTGTTCTGTATGTATGACTTGCTTCCTCTTGAGTCCAAAAAGTCTCAGTGGAAACCAATTTTCTGTAGTTTTAACTGACGTCAGTGGAAACTGTAACATATTCATATATGTATGTGACATTCATATGTTTATTTCTAGTTGTAAAGAACAAATTGAATGAAGCAAAGCAAAGTCATTTTTACTATTATTGTAGTTTATGATGATTATAAACGAGCAAGGAAAACTAGTGTCCAATTCATGTGCCTTCAGATAATTTGATAGTGTAGAGCTGTGTAAGTTCTTTCCCTCCTGTTTCCTTGGGTGTTCTTTCAAATTGGAAATTTTGTTCAGTATTATAAGATGATTTCAGGTAACCTCAAAGAATGAAAGATAACTATTTTGACTTTCAAAGTAGTTTCAAGCAGATATTTTAAAGAATGATAAAATAAAAAAAATTTCTTTTGAAAATTTTTATTGGAACATTATAATAACATATAGTATTGGGATTTCTTGTTATATATTCACATGTACAAAATATACTTTGGTCAATATTACTTCCCAGTGTCTTCCCATTTCCTTAAAAAACGTTTTAAAGTCAGTGCTAAAAACATTTAAATGTCATCACATTTTATGTTTAGGTCTCTGAAATAAGATGAATTTGGCTGAGATTTGTGACAATGCAAAGAAAGGAAGAGAATATGCACTTCTTGGAAATTACGACTCATCAATGGTGTATTACCAGGGGGTGATACAACAGATTCAGAGACATTGCCAGTCAGTCAGAGACCCAGCCATCAAAGGCAAATGGCATCAGGTAAGATCCCGTTAAGGCATTTGATGAATTAGGGTGCAGTGGTTTATTATATTTGAGAGATGAGAGTTGGAAAATTAGTTTGAGATTTTGTAAGTAGTTCTTATTTGTCTGAATACATTTCAAAGTACTCTTTCTGATGTTTTATCGAGTTAATAGTTTATCTGTTTTTGATGATGTATTTTATAAGGTATATTTTGAAGATATTTAACTTTAATTTAATCTATTTTTAACTTTTTCAATTTTCATGAGTGTTGCCTGACTACACATTTTTGAAGTGATGTATTTCTACTTGCCCTTTCTGTTTTTCATTTTTACAAGTAGTTTTGACATAGTTTGTTAAACTTTTTTTTTCTTGAAAGGCTTCTTAAAAATCCAAATGAATCAGTAATCTAATAAAAACATTAATATATTTGCAGTCTCTTGACTATACAACTTGATTATATAATAAAAACTTGAATTATAAGTTTTCCAATTATTGTTAAGACTTAAAATCCTTTTAAAATTAAAAGTACAAAGTCAAGCTTTCTTTGAAGTTTCCATTTCATGTGCTAATGCCTTTCAAGTATGTCTGATGATTTTTTTTCCCACTAGTCAAAAATTAGTGTTCTGCTAAATTTTGAGGGGAAATTTCGAGGGTAAACTTAAGTGTTACCGGATTATGTTGAATGAGAACACCATGGTTGCTTTAACTTTGGCTGAAAATTTTAGTTCTGTTCTTTGTACTACCCCAGGCAGAATTGTTTGTGTGTGTTAGTGGCCATTTCTGTTCAGATATTTATGTTGTTTCTTTCCATTAGGTTCTGAAGGTTCATTTCTCTTAGTATAGCATATTATGTAATTGCATATGTTAGCAGTTTAATTTCACCTAGATTAGATTTTTCTTTGGTTCTGTAACTTCTTTATATATTCTTTTCATTATGTTGTTCAAGCTAAAGACAAAGGAAAATGTCTTATGTTATGCTTTACAGTAACATGTGCTTTCTGGTTAAAAACAGTAGAATTGTTAAGATGAATTTATAATAATTTTTAATCTTTAACTGTTTATTTTGAAAATCAATGTGGGTTCAGAATTTGAAAACAATAATTTCCACAATAGGTGCTCAGTTACGTTTTTTAAATGTAGGGGGAATCTTGAGTTAAAATAAATGAAAGAATTTAGGCTGAAATAATCAGACTTGAGTAATTTATAATATTACAGTGCTTCACACTTTCAGAAACTCATGGCAGGCATATCATACTGATATTGGGCTCAGGAAATTCTGAAAATTTTGGCTGACAAGTTTTTGGATTCTATTTACAAATATACTAAAAGGATTAGCATAACAGATTTTGGGGAATGGTTAACTTGTGACTAATTTACATTGCTTGTTTTAAATTGTATTAATGATCATCATAGTCTAGTACAAAGAAAGTTTCATTATGGTAAATAAATAATTACTTCCCATATGAAAAGGTATGTAACTTTGTCTTTTTTCAAATCAATCTCTGCCTTTCTCTGTATATTACTCTGAATAGTTTTTTTTTTGTTTAAAGTGGTTGTTGTGATATTTTCTAGTGATTCATTTTTGCATACCTTGAATGACATTTTAAAAACTTGCAATTAATTATTTACAGTCTATATAAACTTTAGAAAGTTTTCTAACATAAAGTCTTTCTTTCTTTTTTTTTTTTTTTTTTAAATTTTATTTTAAGGTCCGGCAGGAATTGTTGGAAGAATATGAACAAGTTAAAAGTATTGTCAGCACTTTAGAAAGTTTTAAAATTGACAAGCCCCCAGATTTCCCTGTGTCTTGTCAAGAAGAACCATTTAGAGATCCTGCTGTTTGGCCGCCTCCTGTTCCTGCAGAACACAGGTAAATTTAGACTTCATATCTTTTAAGGAACTTTTAGATAATTGATATTCATAGTGAAGCTTTACTTGAACAAAGTATGAGATAGCATTTTTAGAGGAATATAAATTTAATATTTGCTTATAATTTTTACACCTTATTGTTTTAAAGTTTGTATTTGATAAAAAGCACAAACAAATCCCTTGTTATATATTTTGCTTTTGGAATACTTTACTAAAATGGTAGTAATAACAGGTGTCCTAAAATTTGTCAGTTAAGAGGTTTTTTTAGGTTGCATAATATTAGCATCAAAATTTAGAAACTTGGATAGTTTTTTTTTTGTTTGTTGTTGCTTAAAGAGACTCACTACTTCAAATGAAATGGTGGAGAATTGAATTCATCTTGTTGGGCCCACAATTTCCAGGTTCTTAGAGTAGAAGGACTTTTAATATCAAATTTCTCAATGTGTTGTATAAAGCGCTTATCTCCCACCAGTTTTCTCTGAAAACCAGTCTATGCATGATCTATATAAGTCTCTTTCTTACTCTTTGTTTTCTTGTCTAGACCCAGTGTGTTCATTCTTTGAGGAATATCCATAATCCCCATCTCTAACTCAGCAATTCATATTTATTCTTCAAGTCTCTGCTCAACTGACTGCTTTCCTCTGTAGTCCTTTTAGTCTGCATAGCATAAAAGTTTGTTCAGAGTAGTTATCATGTTGCATTTATTTTCCTCTTCACATGATTAAAGAGCTTTGCAAAGGCAATGATCATGGTTTTATTTACATAAAACAAAAGCCAAGTAACAAATTTCTGTTACTAACACAGGATTTGGCATATGGTAGGAATTCAACCAAGGTTGAATGAATAACTCCCTTAATTTTACAAGTGAGGAAATTGAGGCCTGAGATGCCCTGACTTGTATGTTAGGTTAGACCAGAATCTTAGTTTACGCCTTTTGACTTTCTTTGGGCTTTATTGTGAAGTGGTATTGTGGCCAGAGTGTTGCATCATAGAAAATAAATTTTCCTTTGGTCAGTAGCTATGATGATCTGTTTCACTGATCTCTGGAAGTTTTCTAAAAACATTCAAAGGGACTGTGAAAAGTGGTTAATTTTTTTTTTCAGGATTTTTTCCACTGAGTTACAGATAATTTTGTGACTCCCATGGTAAAACCACTAGATGAAGATTATTTTTTAAGGACAAGTGTAGATTTTTTTTCCTCCAGTGTAATCATCAGGTGTTTTGAATTATGGGGATTCTGATCCCTCAAAAGGCAAAAACTGTCTCAGGGGTTAGAGAATTGTTACCTTGGAAGTTCCAAAGTGAATACTGGAAAAAAAAAATAATGGCATTGTGATCTTTCAGAACTTGAAACAATTTCTGTATGTGTGTATAATAAAATGACTTTTTTCCCCTTAGAAGTCGTTAATTCTGAAATTGATTTCTAGTTTGAAACTAAAAGCTGACGATAAATCTAAATATAAGAATACATGTTCTGGGCTGGGGATGTGGCTCTAGCAGTAGCACGCTTGCCTGGCATGCGTGCGGCCCGGGTTCGATCCTCAGCACCACATACAAACAAAGATGTTGTGTCCGCCCAAAACTAAAAAATAAATATTAAAAATTCTCTCTCTTCAAAAAAAAAAAAAGAATACATGTTCTGAATTGCTAGAGCACCATGATTCATTTAAAGAAACAGTGCCAACAGATAAAAACTCTGATATTCATGGCTTAAACAGAATAAAAAAATTATGGATAACGTTTCCCATTGATGAATACTGACCCAGAAACTCCTCATTAGAGCAACACTGGAATGGTTGCATCCTGTTCTTTTGTCCTTCCTTCCCTGCCCATACTCAGATCTGATTTATTTTTGTACTTGGTTTTTAATCCTTTTTTTTTTTGTAGTTGTAGATGGACAGCATGCCTTTATTTTATGTGTTTATTTTTATGTGGTACTGAGGATCAAACCCAGTGTCTTGTTCGTGTGAGGCAAGTGCTCTGCCACTGAGCCCCAGCCTTAATCCTTTTTCACGAGGAAAGATGAATGGATCAGAATGTATTTCTTCAAATCTCCTTTCTCCAAATTTTAAAAAGCTTATGTGCATGTATGTTTTTCCTCTGTGGATCAGAAAAGCAAATCTAAGACTGTGTTACCTGGGCTGTGGGGGGGATCCCATTTTTACGTATATCAGTGACAATAAGAAAACATCTGACAACTCCAGGAGGTTTTACTAGAGTGGGATTATGTTTAGTACTTTGAGTAATAATAGTATTTTCGATCTTAATGAATAACATCTTTACATAGCAAAGCAACAAGTCTGTCATCAACAATGTTACAGTGACATAAATGTAAAGCAAATGTTAACAAAAAATATACTGGTTTGTGGCTTAGAATGTGTACAAGGGATGATAAAATAAGCAAATATTAAAATTTAAATTTAAGGTTCAAAGTTATGGGAGGTTAGAATTGTATAATATTTCTCTCCTTTTACAAACTTTGTTCTTCTTCAGGTCAGGTAAGACATATGTAATAAATTTTTTTACCTGGGGAGAGTGAATTATGGGAAAAGAGGGAAAAGACACGTAAGTCCGTGTGATCCAAGTTTGAGTTCTACTTCTGACACCTCCTTGCTTCATAACCTTAGATATTTACCTTCTCTAAACTTTCATTGTGTGTAAAATGAGGATATCCATCTCATGGAATTAAATAAAATACTGTAATGTTTAAGACAGTAATTAGCATGTAATGTTAAATAAAATTAATGATCAATTCTGAAATAAAGAACTATAATTTTTTTTTTCAGATAAATAACAAGAGAACAACAAAGTTAAAAAATGACAGCCTCACTCATAAAATTCCTCAAGTAATTTTATTTTCTTCCTGCAAATTTTACATAAATCCTTAATTTTCTGAAACACTTTGAATAATTCTGGCAGAGAGGATATTTTTAAATGCACAAGCCTCATGAAGTTGGTGATCATTTTCAGGAAAGGATAGTTTATAGTTATAGATCATTTACTGTATGTTTTATAAGCATTATTTTATTTAAACTTCCAGCGATCCCATGAAGTAGATGTTGTTATTTTGTGAACCTATATTATCATTGGTAATTTATTATTGTGAACCCAAGTTTCAGCTGAGAAAATTGAAGCTTATCAAGTTTATTATTTTTCCAAAGTCATCTGAACAAGAAAATGGTAGAGTCAGGATTTGAACCTAGATCTTAACTTGGTATCCACTCTACTCTATGAAGTTTAAAACTCCCTCGCCCTGGTAACTGAGAATAGGAAAATATCATTTACTTTCACCTTAATTTTACACAAAGCATTTCAGGTATGCAGCTTATGTGTTTGGCTTTAACCAATAATGTGGTAGCCCTGTTTTTGGTTCCATCCTTTTTACTTCATTGACCTCTAACAAAATTTCTCCTCCTTCCTTGTGGCTGCATACCAGGGTGATATTATACTATGGTTTTTCACAAGTGGTTTTGCTGCATTGTGTGTCTGTGTCATGGGTCTGCTGAATTTAATCATGATCGTGTTTTAAATCACCAGCAGCTGCTTGGATAAATCAAAGCAATCTTTTAAAATAGATTCATTGCCTTAAATTTGAAGAAATGGAACTGTAAAAGTAGGTTCATGAAAGGAAGTAATAGCAGTATCAGAATTAAACTCCAAAAGAGAGGAGGCCTCCAGATCATTCTTAATATCCTAAGTTAAAGAGTTTATTGTATTAATGAAATGATTTTCATGATATTTTGCATGTAGGTTTATTAAGTACATTCTCTTCAATGAGATGATCTGTCCTAGTGAGACCTAAAACATGAGGCCATGACTTTTCTTTTTTAGAATAGTATTTGAAATAGCATATATTCAATTAATTACCTTTGTTCAGTATAAAAATAAAAATAAATGTGGTAAGTAATTCTTTTTTCCAGCTTTATTGAAATATAATTGACAATAAAAATTGTATATAGTTAAGATGTACAACTTAATGATTTGATATACGTATACTTTGTGAAATAGTCACCACAATTAAGCTAGTTAGCATATTTATTACCTTTTTCTTTTTGTGGTGAGAACACTTAAAATCTACAAGCTTAGTAAATTCCAAATATATGATACAATATTGTTAATGATAGTTACTTTGCTGTGTGTTAGATCTCTAGAACTTACCTTGTACAACTGAAACTTTGCACTTCTTGACCAACATCGTTCTTTCTGTAGTTTGAATGTGCCCTCAAAGCTTATGTGTTGGAAACTTGATCCCCAGTGCAACAACATTGAGAAATGGGACCTTTAAGATGTGATTAGGTCATGAGGACTTGGCCTAATAAATGTTATCCTGGGAATGGGCTTGTTATAGAAGGCCCCTCTTGCTCTTTAGTGCTGTCTTGCCCTTTTACCTTCCATCCATGAAATGATGAAGCAGGGAGGCCCTTGTCACATGTGAGCCCCTTAATTTTAAACTTCCCAGCTTTCAGAACTATAAGAAATAAATCTGTTCTTTATGAATTATCCAAACTCAGGTATTCTGTTATAGCCTCACAAAATTTCCCTTTCCCTTAAGCTTCTGGTAACCACCATTCTACTGTTTCTATGAGTTTTGACTATTTCAGAGTCCATATATAAGTAATCAAGCAGGATTTGTCTTTCTGTAGCTTATTTAGTTTTTCCTTAGCATGTCCTCCAGATTCATCCATGTTATTGCAAATATCAGGATTTCCTTATTTTTAAAAACTGAATGCTATTTCATTCACCTGTTGACAGATATTTAGATTGTTTCTTTGAATGTATATTCAGAAGTGGGATTGCTATATGGTAGTTTTATTTATTTATTTATTTAAGAGAGAGAGAGAGAGAATTTTAATATTTTTTAGTTTTCGGCGGACACAACATCTTTGTTTGTAGGTGGTGCTGAGGATTGAACCCGGGCCGCACACATGCCAGGCGACCGTGCTACCACTTGAGCCACATCCCCAGCCCCAAATGGTAGTTTTATTTTTAATGTTTTGAGGA